CTACTTTTACAGCAAATAAAAGCAAAGAAAAAAAAATGACACTGGACTTGATGAAAAGAAAAAGCAACAGAATAGTATGTAGCATGAGTAGGGGTAGGGGAGAGAAATCTATTTAATTTTGGCCTGATGGAACTGGCAGAGATTGTCCTACCAACTCAGCGGAAATGTAGCTTTAAGGGGATGATAGTAGCTTTCATTTCTGCTTGGAGATTGAAAGTTAAAGGTAGTAGGACCAGTTTAAAACACATAGCTGCCTGTGACTAATTCAGCAAGTCCATTTTGTTCTTGCTAAGGCTGCTACCTTGTTTCTAAGAATACACTGTTTTAGGGGATGAATCTTCTGAGAACTAATGAATCTGGATATTTCAAAGATCTTTTCAGTGTCAAAAGATAAATTGTATTGTGTGGGGTTGAGAAATCAACATAAAGTAATCCTCTTTTCACTACTTGATTTAACTTCATTTCCTTTCTTTCCTCTCTTTAGTGGCAGTTGTTCAATCTTAAAGAATAGTTTCTTCTTTCTAGACACAATAACATCCCAAAAGCTACAACAGAGTTGTAATTTTTTTCCATGATACAGAAAGAAAGTAGAGGGGAAAAGTATAGCATCATATTTATTAGAGTTTGAAATGTGATAGCTCGCTTTAGCCAGTATAATTTTTTTCCATTAAGTTTATTGGTACATTTTAGGTATACAGTACAGTTACATTCATCATTGGGATCTTGTACCTTTACATGATGTTTCCTGGTTCTTATTTTTTCCCTATTCCCCTGCCCTCCCTTCACCCCCTCCACCCTTCCCTATTTACAAAGACTTTGTTTCCATGTTTTTCCTTTTCTCATATTTTTTCTTTTCCCTTCTTTCCTTTCCCCTACCCCTCCCACTTCCCCTACTCCTTTAGACATTTCCTTCCTATTTCACAATATCATTTATACATTTTGATCCTTATTTACACTTTTAGTTTTTCACACCAGAGAAACTGTTTAGTATTTACACGTGTGTCCTATTTATTTTACTTAAGAGTATGGCCTCAACCAGTGGAACAGATTAGAAGATGCAGAAACAATGCCAGACACACTCAGCCATCTCATCTTCGATAAAGGAGCCAAACACCCTCACTGGAGGAAAGATAGCCTCTTTAATAAATGGTGCTGGAAAAATTGGGCTTCAACTTGCCAAAGATTAAAACTAGACCTGTATCTCTCACCATGCACTAAACTAAAATGAAAATGGATTAAAGATCTAAATATTAAAATAGAAACTCTGAACCAGTTGGAACAGAGGTTAGGTTGAACCCTTGAAGACATCTATGTAGGAAAAGATTTTTATGAACAAGACCTCAGTTGCCTGTGAACTAGCACAAACAATCAACAAGTGGGATCTCTTCTTATTAAAAGGCTTCTGCACAGCAAGAGAAACCACCAGCAGTATGAAGAGACAACCCACAATGTGGGAAAAAATCTTCACCTGCTCTTCCTCAGACAAAGGTCTACTATCTCAAATCTATAAAGAACTTAAAAAGATCAGACCTCCCAAATTTAAAGACCCAATCCAAAAATGGGCGTCTGAAATGAACAGACATTTCTCAGACAAAGAAGTAGAAATAGCAAATAAATACATGAAAAAATGTTCAACATCACTGGTCATTCAAGAGATGCAAATGAAAACAACGCTGAGATTCCACTTCACTCCAGAAAAAATGGCTGCTATCATGAAATCAACCAATAACCAATGCTGGCGGGGCTGTGGGGAAAGAGGAACCTTGCTCCACTGCTGGTGGGAGTGTAGACTGGTGCAAGCACTGTGGAAATCAGTATGGAGATACCTCCAAGAACTAGGACTGGAAGTCCCATTTGACCCCGCTATTCCAGTGCTGGGGATCTTCCCCAAAGAATTAAAAGAATCATACCACAGTGATATATGTGCACCCATGTTCATAGCAGCACAGTTTGTGATAGCTAAAACTTGGAAACAGCCCAAATGCCCATCAACTGGAGACTGGATCAAGAAAATGTGGTTTTTTTATAAAATGGAGTACGACTCAGCCATAAAAAATGAGAAATTGGAGACATTTATAGCTAAGTGGATGTACATTGAGGCGATAATCTTAAGTGAAATCAATAGGACACACATGTGTAAATACCGAATAGTTTCTCTGGTGTGAGAAACTGAAAGTGTAAATAAGGACTAAATGTATAATAGGTAATGTGAAATAGGAAGAAAAGGGGCCAAGGGGAAGGAAGTGGGAGGGCTAGGGGAAAGGATAGAAGGGAATGGGATTAATATGAGAAAATGGAAAAATAGGAACAAAATCTTTGTAAATAGGGAGGAATAAAGGGGTTGAAGGGAGGGGTGGGCAAGGGTGAAAAATAAGAACCAAGAGAGACTATTTAAAGGTGCAAATTTCCAATGATGAATGTCATTATATTGTATACCTAAAATGTACCAATGCTTAGAATGAATAATTGATAATGTAAAATAGGAAGAAAAGGTCCAAAGGGGTAGGGGTAGTGGGAGGGGCAGGGGAAAGGAAAGAAGGGAAAGGAAAAATGATGAGAAATGGAAAAAATGGAAATAAAGTCTTTGTAAATAGGGAAGGGTCAAGGGGGTGAAGGGAGGGCTAGGACTGGGGAAAAAGTAAGAACCAAGATGCATTATGTAAAGGTACAATTCCCAATGAGAAATGTAATTGTGTTGTATACCTACAATGTACCAATAAAAGAATTTAATTAAAAAAAAAGAGTATGGCTTCAATGTGCATCCACTTAGCTATAAATCTCTCTAGTTTCTCGTTCTTTATTAGCCAGTATAATTTTTAAACAGATAAAGTGTTGAGTTCATATGCCTGAAAACTATCATTAATGATTGGAAAAAGTGAGAAAATGAGTTTTAATATTTTTCCTTAGCTAGAACATTTCATTTTAAGGAAAATGTTTACTAGATTGTTTTATCCTAGATAATGAAACTTACTTTTCTCTCAGTTTGGGCTCACTGTCAGTTATTGAGAGACTAAAATATCCTATATTGTAATATCCAGCATTTTTTTCTTAATAATTGATATAAGGTCACAGTTCCTTTATAAATAGTTATCAGGAAAAAAGATGAGGTTTTCTTATACCTTTTCCAGCTCCTCTCCCCATGTGCCTTATAGAATCACCTCACTTGAATAATCTGTGAAGTTATATCCTTGGAGTCTGAAGGTCTGTCTGGCTGTTGTGTGCTCCTACAAACTGATTTGCTTAAATTCCTCTGTACCATTCCCATGAATCTGAGCTAATTGTACTGCCATTTTTTTCAGAGATGAGCATTAGAAGTCATGTGTGCCTAATTCTGAAAATGGTTTTGTACATTAAGGCGTATTTACCTACTGGTGGTTAGAGAAAAGTTGAGAAACTTACAGTTATTTGTCATAATTTTAAAATGCAGTAGTAGTGTAGAACTCTGTTCAACTACAGGCATATAAGATGTGATGTCAACTTCTCAGTCATTAGGAATGTTATGGTTTAGCTTATATCTTACTGGTCAGTTGTCAGAGAAGATATATTTAGTCATGGAAAAGAAAATCAATGTCTGGCATGCCAATAGTAATAGGGTAAGCCCTTCCAATTGGGTTTTCGCAGGGGGGGATTGATTTGTGTGCATTCCTGGGTCTATATAAAATGGTGTCCTTTTAGCACTAGCTGAGTATAAATTTCAGTACATGCTTTTTCTTGCAGCAGATTAGTGTAATACAGTGACATTTTCTGTAACTGAAGGGAAACAGTGGTTGGACATCTGTTAATAGCCTGAAAGTAACTAATGAGAATGTGCAGTCGGAACGATTGATTGAATGAATAGCTGCAGACCTGTGTGTTTCTTTCTCACTTGCTCTCTCTCTGCAAGCTGTAGAAAGGGAGGGGGAAGAGCAAGACAGGGAGGGAGCGAGAGAAAAAACGCTTTCTCTTAAGTGGAAGTAGCACGGATCCCAGGGGCCAGGAGGCCAGAAATGGAAGTTTAAACTGCATCTATCTTAAAGGGAGAACAGCAGGAATCAAAATGTCAGTCTCCGGAGTCACCATTTGTACCTTATTTTTTAAGATCTGAAAGATAACACAGAATACTTTTTTTAGAATGTGGGGTTTTTTTTCTTGTCCATGTTGAGATTATCTAATGTTGTCTGAGAAGCTGGATTCCTATATGTCTGTCAGTTGAAGTGGAGATGGGAAGCAGTTGTGATAAAGGTATAATATATATATATTTATCATCTGTGTTTTTGTATGTATGTGCATATATATGTGTGTATATATATATATCACTCTGAAAAATATCTTAATATGTAGCCTTAATACAGTTTATAGTAATTAAATTAGAGAGCATCACATCATCTGTAAAATCTTAAGCTTGTTAGGTCAGTTTGAACAAATTTAAGATTCCAGAGTAAGATCTTAGTAAGGTCAGATTGCCAGAACAAGGAGAAGCTGATCTATTTTTATATCTGCATAGGCATATATATCATTTTATCCTGGCAGCAGCTTTCAGTCTTCTCACAGCCCTTTTGTTGCAGTCTGGTGAATCATCTTATCTTCACAGATCCGAACTTTGACCCTTGTGCATACACCATCAAATCATGTGTAACAGTAGACTATATTTTGTTCATACGAATTTTAGAAATTTCTTTTGATTCTGTTAACTCCTGCATTGCTGATCTATACACTACAAGATACAAAGATTAAGTGAAAATAATCATAGCACAGAGGAAATTATTTTTATGTGTGCACAGTTAAAGGTATGAGTTGTCACACTAAAGCAGATTCTTAACCCTGACCAAGTCTGTCCATTGTCTTTATAGGTCAAACACCACAAAAGTAGGGGCAAACTATATCGAGATAGAATATAATGCACTTTTAAAACAAATGAAAAAAATGGATTTTTTTGTAAAAGAGCAGTAATTTTATAATGTAGTGAAAGATCTTAAATTTTGGGTTCTTAACAATGATTCAACTTTCCTCCTCTTTCCCAGAGGTACCAGCAGAAAGGTCCCCCCGTAGACGGAGTATCTCAGGGACCAGTACATCAGAGAAACCCAGTTCCATGGACACTGCAAATACCTCACCCTTCAAAGTACCAGTAAGTATTTCTTTTCTCTAGAAGAATATTTTACTTTTCTCCCTTCCTCTTAGAGTTAGAGACAGCTACTAAGGAATCCAAACACTTTGTTCCTCAAAAGTTTCCTTATAATACTGAGGCTAAAGGACAGCGTTATCAACTTACATAGATTAATTGTGGTTGATAACCACTACTTCCAGTATAAGGCTTATTTAATTTTAAAGAATGTTATTTTTACCTGTGGAATATTTCCAAAATATATCACTAAGTACATTATTACATTTGAATTTCTATAAACTATAGAGCACAAATCTTTGCAGATGTCTTCTATCAAAGTTGCTAGCTAAAACCTATCACAGATCTGTGAAGATACTGGTAGGACTTTTTTTAGGGATTTTTTTTTTCCAGTGCTGCATCATAAGCAGAGAGTGATAAGACTCATAAAGTTGCAGAGAAAACTCACAGAGAATTAGACAGTTTTGCATTCTAATCCTGAGAACCGGCCTATGTTTTGCTTAAGTGATCTTTTAGATGACAGTGTAAGTGCTTAAGAAATAACCTGAAAGAAGGTAATTCCTTAGACTGGTCAGACAGTACTAAGAACCAACATTTAGCACAAAAGTATGCTGAGGTGGAAGGGCCATAGGTGATTAGCTCAGCTGGCCAGTAGGTGGAGGCCTGGTTTTGGATGTTTGTGCTATAACTCTGAGTAACCCAGTTTTAAGTCTTTTCTTTGTTTATTGGGCAAGAAATGTACTTACTTTCTAAACATACTAGAAGTTATGCTTGAAAAGATTGCTTTAAGAGGTTGGTCATTATTCTAGGTACAATAAAAATCAGTGTAAAGTAGAAATAGTCATTTCTATTTAGGAAAAAAAAAGTAGTTTTCGTTTCTTTTTCTTCTTTCTACTCTTCCTCCTCCTCCTCCTCCTCCTCCTCCTCCCCCCCCCCTTCTTCTTCTTCTTCTTCATTCAGCTGAGTTACCTGGTGCATTCTTTCTTTATTCCAATACTTTTTTTCTTTTTTAAGTTGGGATAACCTTTTAAGTTTAACTGACTTTTTGAAGTGTATAAACTGACATTTGACATGTAAGTTAAACAAAATTGGTGTTTTCTTTTGTATTAACTGCAGGCAACAAAATTTCCTCTTCTTTCACCTTAGGGGCATGTACATTTTGTGCATGTCTGTTTCTGTGATACCTTACAAAGTTTAATAAATTTTCTCATTTTTAAAAATCACAAGTGAGTGTTAGATTAATATTCTAATCAAATTATGGCAGGAATTTTAAAACATCAGATCCAGTGTGTCTTATAATAAATTTCTTTGTTTCATAGATGTAGCAATTTATATTTTATTTTCTTCAAGAATAAGCAATTTTTTCCTTTCCCATGCTCTTCTTATTTTCCTGATGAAGCAGACACCAATATAGTGAAACTATCCAAATACAGAGTTTAATACTATATTTAGCTGAATTTAAGATTCAGTTAGAATTTGATATTTTCACACCATTATGCTAGAACCAAATGGCAAATGTTTTATAAAAAGTTAATAAATGAAGAATATTTACCTGCAATATGGTGACACTGAAGTATGTCCCATCCCAACTCTTATAGTCAGACTTTCAAACTTTGAATTAATTATGAATCACAATTTTCATTTATTTAAACAATAAATTGATAGTTAATTTAAGATTTATCTCAATAATTAGACTAATCATTCTTGAGTAAAAGTTATAGCATAATAATGTGCATATATGTGAAAGGTAGCACTACTTAAAAACCATGTACCCATTTAGTGGTCTTAAGAAAAATGAGGAAGGAAGCTAAGCACATGCCTATAATCCAAGCACTCTGGGAGGCTGAGACAGGAGAAGTACAGGTTTGAGCCCAGTCTGGGCAACTTAGCCATTTAGTGAGTCCCTCCTCAGAATAAAAAAATAAAATAAGAGCTGGGCATGTAACTCAGTGTAAAGGCCCTGGGTTCAATCCTAGGACCACAAAAAATAAAATAGGAAAGGAAAGGGCTTCTGGCCAGCAAATTGCAGTCACAAAATCCATACACTGAGCTTCCTGGGAGAATTTAACCATTGACAGGCCCTAATCTAGTTTTTTGAAAAATAACCATCAGAACACACTGATTAAAAGAAGAAAGAGGAAAAAAGTCATGAGTAGAGGGAGGAAGCAGAGAAAATGAAAGGGGTAAGGAAGCATAAAAATAATCTGAATCCATTTAGTACAAAAGCAAATAGCCTTACATTTATTAATAAACTTAAGGGTACCATTGTATTTTGGGATGGTACATAGTATAGAAAGTGACATTGATGTGATGATCCTGAATCATTAAGAAAAAATGGTGCTATATTTGTCATGCTGTTTTTTTCAGACTAACTGTATATTATGTGATAATTACCCATTGAAAATATTTAAAATCTTAAAGGTATATAATGTTTATAAAACTTGTTTCCAGAAAAATCTGATTTGTGAAATGCCTTACTCCTTGATCATAGTAGATATAGACAAGTAATTTATATACATATATATTTTTTGGTACCGGGGATTGAACTCAGGACCTTGCGATTACAAGGCAGGTGCGGTGCCACTGAGCTACATCCCTGGCCAAGTAATTTATATTTTGAAGAGGAACCAACATATGCTAGCTAAATGAGGTACTACAGTACTTATTTGGATATCTGTAAAAGTACATTTCCATTTTTTTAGTTTCCATGTAATACCAGTAGTTAATATGACTTAAATATATTTCTGATTAGAAGTATGAAATGTTTTCAGGAGAACACAAAATGTTTATGGAATTAATAACTGTAGATTCTGAGTAAGAGAAAGTCTGTAGCACAAAGGGAGCCAAACTTTGAGGTATTTAACTTTATACTATTTATACAGTATTTTGAATATCCATTTCCATTTAAGTTTATGAAGAGAGAGAAGTGATATTTCAGCACAAGTACTTATGATTCTCAGATTCAAATTTTTTTACTTGATGAGCACTAAGTTCATCACTCATCAAGTGGACTCCCCAAAGATATAATAGTATACCCTCAAAAAGGACCTTATTCTTCCCAATTTTCAGACTTACTGAGACCAGATGAAATAGATTTTAACAAGTCCTGACTGAAATTATTTACACATTTATTGAGTGCTTACTTAGTGATTCACCATTTATTGATACGTTCTTGGTGTACTGTGTTTTATACTGGGGAAACAGAAATGAAAACAGAATTTTCCATTCCCAGGGAGCCTGTGATCTGGTAACAAGAGAGAAAAATTACCAGATTCATAAAGAAGTGGGAAACATGGTAATACAAGTTATTAACAACACAATGTGTTAGACAGTATCTGATCATCTTTGTAACACCCTCAAGTGTCTAATACAGTACTTTACATATGGTTAATACTCAACAAATAATTGTTAAATGAATAAAATATTCATGAGTTATGGAAATATCCAAATAGAATGAGTTTATCTCATGCTTGCTTTCTTGGTGTTACTGAAATGTCTCGTAAAATGGAATAATAAATATTTAATAACATTTAACAAGCATTTAATAAGATATTATTTGGAACAATTATGCCTGTGCAGAATGGTTAGATCTTTTATCTCAACAAAAAGAAATTTTAATTAACATTGGAATTCAGAGCTATGGTATTTTATGTATGTATACTGTGTGTACTCATATTGGAGACTTGAACTGGATAAAATTCTTTAATGGTTTGTTTTTAGGAGTATTTCTTTGAGCTTTTAGGTATTATACACATGTATATGCTCACAGAGTTTTTGCAGATGTGAGTTTTGACTGTTAAATTCTCCAAAAACTGTCATTAGTCATTTGAATAGTTTTTGCCTCTTTCAAAAGATCATACTTCGTTTTCTTTTACACCTTGCTAGACTTTTTGCCTTGTATATACTTGTGTTTTCCGTTAAATAAAACATTCTTCATATATTTTATACATTGCTAAAACTACATTTAAATGATTTTGCAAAGGTGATGAGGAACACTTGAGTTATCTTAAGTTATCCAGGTACTTGCATTTAATTCAGAAAGGGAAAATGATCGTGTCTTATAATTCTGTATACTTATCTCCCAGTGTCTGAACTTTTAGAACAAACTTCCTCATATTCCATTTATAAAATGACTGTTGATATTTATGATGTTTGTATCACTTCCACTTTGATGATACCATCAGTTTGGCTTTGGCCAAAAGAGAGCTGCTTGTGTTCTGGGCCAGGTGCTCAGCTTAGTGTTCTCATTTCCATAACACAGTGGTCCAAGTTGGCCTTCCATGTCACTAAAACACAATGCAGCCACAGCTGCTTCATTTGTATTAGCTTTGAGCTGAGCTCTGAAAGAATTCAGGGACTACGAAATATGCCAAGACAACCAGAAAGCATAGTTGAACAAAGGCAGTAATAGCTGAATATTCCTATGTAACCCTCCTTATATTCCTATCACTGTCACACCTGAGCATTCCCAATCAAATAAAGATTGTCAAAAGACAAAAACTTCACCATTTTTAGAAGACAGTAAAAGTCGGGAAAATAAAACATAAACAATGTTACAAAATCCTCTAAGAAGAAATACGCCCTTTTGCAGGCATAAAGACATCAGGCTCAGTTGGTATTGATCTCATTTTGCATAGAATCCCCTTTAAAATCTACATAAGTGCCTTTCCAAACTAAATATCATCAGAGCTTCATGCCCACATAGTAAAGACCAGAAGGTGTTTATTATCCAAACCTTTCATCTCTAGGTATTACATAAAAATCTCTTTAAGGAACTTCAAAAAATATGCTGACACTTAGAATCCACCTCAGACCATGTAAGTCATAACCTCTGGTATAGAGCCCAATCTGCCTACCTCTTGGTCAATGTTTTTGGTTTTTATCTCTCTCTCTCTCTCTCTCTTTTTTATTTCGAGACAGTCTCAATAGATCTCTAAGTTTCCCAGAGTGGGCTCAAACTTGTCACACACCCCCGGGGCGGGGGGCATGTACCTCAGTGGCTCCAT